GAGCAGGCGGGAGGGGTGGGGGGCGGGTGAGCGAGGGGAGAAACAAAGCTGGGCCGGGGGAGGCGGGGGTCGGCACCAGCCCTGCCGGGGGCGAAGTGCTGGCAAGCCTTTCTCACAGTCTCGCGGCCCGCTGGGAGGCTCGGAGCCCTGTGATCAGCCCGCCGCCAGCAGACTAGCTCTCCCGCCCCCCGCCCCCCTGCGCCCGACTGCGCTCCCCAAAGCGCGAGTGAAAAATGGACATGGGAAGCAGCGATCTCGTCTCCCTGCACTGGGAACCCAGCCGCGCTCGGAACACACATAAATCTTCATTGCACTCCCCTCCCCTTCGCTCGTGTGAAATATCAGGCCCGATTCTGAATATGACAAGCGCTGGGAAGCCCGGGGAGGGAAGCGGAAGAGTCAGGGGTGTCCGACCCGCTCCGCTCCACCTCTTGGCGGGGTTGCTCCAAACTCCTGTGGGGCGCTGAGTCTCAATTTCCAAGGCTGGCTGCCAGGACGCACCCGCCACCCCTCCGATTCCCGCCCCCCCCCCACCTCACCACCACCCACACCCCCAGCGTGGGCGCCCCCGGCGCCCCCCCTCGCCCCCCACCGCCCTAAGTGCTCCCCAGAGCGTGGACACACACCCCTCCCGCTGCGCCGAATTCCTGCGGCTGGCGGGCAGGGGAGTGCAGAGAAGAAAGGGAGCGAATCCTGGGCCTAATCAGAGCGGCTGCAATGTGGGACCGTTTAGGAAGTTTCCCCTCAGCCTCCTTTCAGGATTACTTGTGAAAATTGTGAATATCCGTCCTGTGTAAGGATTTCCGAGACGGGTGGGGCGAGTTTGGGAGACGTATCAAGTTTGATGGGGGCGGAGGGAGCCCCATCAGACGGCAGCTTTGTTTACAAACAGTTGTGTAGTGGAAGGGGGAGGAGGAAAAGGGATAAAGTGAGGAGTGTTGGGAGTGGATGAATAGTCCCCTCCACTGTTAGAACACCCCCCCCTCCCCGCGAAGGGGGACGGGGAGCAGAAGCCCCTTTGCCTTAAAAAAAAAAAGTCATCCTTACTGACTGTAAAACCCAGGAGCACATCCCGCACTCCGACACCGCCTCCTGCCTCCTTCTACCCCGTCCGAGTCCAGAGCACTCGCTCCAAGGACACCAGCCCGCTCCTTTCCCGCCAAGGAACAACGACCACCAGTGCCTTAGTCTGTTGTAAGGTCAGAAACCTCTGAGAATTAAGCTCTCTCTTCCTCCTAAAACACCGGTCCCTTTGCACTCCACTTTGGGTCCCAGGTCCCGCAAGCGGGTGTGGGGCTCGCCCCTGGCTCCGTCAGGACTGGGCTCTGTGGGAGAGTGCCGGGTTCTGGCGGGGTCAAGCCACCCACAACAGCCCCAGGAAAGCCTCCCCCGGGGCAGATCCTCCCTCCCTACCTGGGGTCTGACCCGCCAGCTTTACCCGCTGTCCCGCCCCTTCCCCTAAATACAAACCGGCGCGAGGGTTGGGGGGATGCGGAGGCCCCGCGCCCCTCTGAGGCCTCCCTGGCGGGAGCTCCCCTCCCGGGGACTGGTTTGTCAGTGATTGCCACATTACAAGATGTTACATTCCTCCCTGGGGCCCGGGGCCGGGCGGGGCGAGGGAGACACTATGTTTCAAGAAAAGAAAGAGCAGGCGGGTCTTGCAGGAGCAGTTCCTGGGCGCCTCCACGAGAGAACGCAGGCACAGTCTCTACATAGACGTTTCTTCCCGGGACCGGCTCCTAGCTCGTCCTCTGGGTTGGGCCAGACCGCAAGCACTGCGGTGTCTTAGCAGTTTGTGGGCTGCGTGGGAGCGCTCCTGTGAATCTCCCGAGGCCCGTTTGGGGGGGTCCTCAGGAGTCCTGGCGCACTGGCTGCGTCCCGGATCGGTTCCGGTCAGCAGCGCTAGGAGCGAGGGGGGCAAGAGAGTTGGCGAGGGTTGGGCGGGGACGGGGATGGCTCCAGGAGGCGGGCTGTAGCTGTGAGGCAGAGGGTTAGAACCTCGGGGAAGGAACAGGGCAAGAGGGGGGGAAGGACTGGACGCGGAATGCGCGGGGGTAATCCCAGAGCGCAGACTGGGGCCGGCACGCAGCTAACGCGGCGGGCTTTCCGCACTCTCCCCCCGCCCCCTTTTTGTGCTCCAGGAGTCTCAGGCACCCTGGAGATGAAACCGTCGCTTTCGGGACAGTGGTTACTTCTGGCCCTGGAACCTGACCGAATCTAAGCTGGTCTGAGCTGTGGCCCCACTCCTGGCGGCTTCTCTCGCCCAAAGCCTTCGCGTTGCCCCCTCCTCCCGGGCAGCCTCCGCCCCGCCCCATCCCTCGGCGTCCCTGGACTCGGCTTCTTAAAGTCGCAGGGTGTCTCAGTGCCCCAGAGAAGCGCCGCCCCAGTAGGGAGTGTTTCTGGGGGGCGCTATCTGGGGCGATGGAGCGCTGGCCCCAAGGACCTAATTGAGCTTATTCTCTCCTGTCCCAAAGCCTCCAAGTAGCAGGCGCATGTTCGCCGGCACTAAGAAACAGCTAGCGCTCTGTCTTGGGTGCTAAGTCGCCTCACAGCAGCTCCTCAGTCCACCAGCTGCCCGCCCCCCCACCTCGCACCCCCCGCCTCCCGCCCTCTGGGCCCGCCTGCAGATTCTAGAGACCAGCCGGGCTGAACTGTGCAGGGGGGTTTCAAGAATTCGCGAAAGGGCCCTAAGGAAGGAGGAGGGGAGAACTGGAAAGAAAAAGAAAGGAAGAGTGTGTGTCGGGGGAGGGGGGATCCGGCTCAGTCACTTTCCTGCTCTGTTGCCGAATTAGGGTGGGAGCCCAGGGCCTCTGGGGCACCCCAGCCCAGAGAGAGCAGACACGGGGGGGGGCGAGGGGGGATTCTCTTCCCGACGTGTTCACGGGACAACAGTGAAAATTTGCCTTGGGTGGCCAATTTTCTCATTTGCCCCTATTAAAAGAAAAAGCCCAAGAAATTCAATTAAAGCCACCCTGGCCAAGGCGCTATTTGAGGCATGAATGTCTCCCCTAAAGCTGCAGCAATCATGTGGCATTAGACACTTCCGGAATCCTATAGCCAACCTGAAAAATCCCAGACCCCCTTTTCCCCTAATTTTTGCTCTGATCTGTAATTTTATCCACATTTGCACTAGTTTGAGCATTCTGGCTCTCCCATCTGAAAGCCTGCAATTACTATATAATTCTTCGCAATTTCAGATGTCCTAATATGGACTGTAATTTTTGCGCAAGACAATTTCCTGCTATTTCAAGCATCAACATTGTCAAAGTTGTATGTACATAATAAATGGGAATATCAATGCATAGTTTTTAGCATAACATCTTGACTCCTCGATAATTATATCCGTTCGGAGCCTACGCAGAATTAGCCTGAATTGCATGGTAACTGCTGCTGCTTTAAAATTTTTAAAAATTACTCATAATTTTCCCAAAGATTACCAAGATCTCGAGTGCACAATGTCATCAGCGTAATGAAGAGTAAACATTTATGCTAATAATCTGCAATTTTTTTCATCAGCTATAAAGACAGAGGCTATATAGCCGAAAATTTCAGTCCTATTCTGCAAGCGCCGCGCTGCAAAAAGCCTGCGCGCTCGGAGGCGCCTGGTCCTGGGGACCTCTCTTCACTCTTTGCTCTCGGGATGGGAAGATGGGGCTGGGGGATTCTTTTTGGTTTTCTAGTTTTGTTTTGCTCTGGTTTGGTCGGTTTTGTATTTCCTGTTTTTCCTTTTTTTTTTTTTTTTTCTTTTTCTTTCCTGTCATTCTCCCAGCCAAAAGCCGCCTTCGACCCTTTTGATTTGATGTAGCAAAGATTGTGTCCAGATTATCTGAAATTGACACTGAAGAAGGTAAGGGTGGAAACCGGTTTCATTTTTCAGAGGGTTGGAAGGCTGAGCTGCGCCCGGCGCGGCAGCGGCTCCCGCTCTGGGAGTAGGAGGGTGGGGGAGTGATTATGTATGCACCAGCTAATTCTTCCATCAAAACGTCTTGTCAGCGATGTCAGGATTATTTTTCCCCCTTTTTATAAAAACACTTGATGTTTTAGGAAGTGTTAATCCCTGAAGGTTGGGGGATGAGGGCGAGAAGCAAGGAAGGCGTGGGTCGGGGTGACATGTTTCTTAGCCTGGGGAAGGCACCCGTTAGAACCGTTTGGCTGTCCACACTGGAGTTGGGGTTTGTTGTGGAGGGTTGGGACCTGAGGAGGATTTCTTCAGGTCGTGGGAGGGAAAGACCCTTGCCCTTTGTACCGCATCTGATGGAAGTTCCAGTGGCCCTGAGGGATCAGGGGTAGAAAAGTTCGCTTGAGCCTTTGATTTCAGGATGATTAACCCAGGCGGGGGATGTCAAAAACTAGAGAATCCTGACATCGGTTTTTTAAAGATACAGAATGAAAGGGGTGGGTAGCGAGGTAAAAAACACATAGCTGGAGGCCTGGGTTGCTTCTTTCTGCTCAGTTTTTCTTGGGATCAAGTAAGTATCTCAGGTTCTATATTCACCACCCAGACCTAGCTTTCTTTCGGTGACAGAAATTGATGATTTCTTCAAGGGGAGAGATTTCTACATCCAATGACTCCAAGAATAAATTCGTACTTCTGTTCACATAGGTGGGGGGAATTTTAAAACTTTTTGTGGTCAGAACAGGAAAGGCTGAAGAGCCATCGGTCCAAGCCCAGGTGCAGATCCCCAAAAGAAAACATAAAACATGATAGCCAGTAAGAAAGAAAGGGGAAAAAAGCTGCGAGCTAGATAAACATGTTTCCCATTTCATATTTGTAAGATGTTGCCTCGATTTAGGAGCTGGGTTCTTCCACAATTAGATGACCAGGAGGACCACTCCGTTTCTGGCTTATGAAACCCAAGACCAGTGAGGAGCGGACTTTGGATTGTTGCTTTTGCCCCTCCACCTCTACCCCTACCCCTTTTTGAGCGAGTGTGTCTGAGAGAAGATATTAAAGAGGTATCTGCTGTTTGGCAATTTTGCTAAGTCTGTCTTCATTACTTCGACGCTGTGCATTTGCTAATTTGGAGGCCCGGCCATTGACAAGCTTGCTCCATACACCTGCAAGCAATTTGCCGGCTCCGGTACCGAGAATTGCAGAGATGGCAGCTCGCACCTATTTGATTTTTTTTTTCCTTTTCTCAATGCACAGCAAATTTGGCTTTCAGTGCGTTATCTCTTTTGTTAATGCAAAAAGATTCCCTGGGCGAAAAAATTGCTCATAATTACCAGAGAGATGGGGAAACTGCATTAGAATAAATAAACCTGAAATTACTGTAATTATGTTGTGTTTGATGGGCCCGGCTTGTAATCAAGAAGAGAATACAGTGAAATGATGCTGACCCTCTTGGGTTTGCAGCTGTACACGCACTTTGGGGTCTTTTTTTGCAGAAAAGAGTCATTTTGATAATCATTAAGCTGTGTGTAACCTATTTCAGAAGTGTTTTAAAATGAGGTTCACATTTTTTGAACAAGGGGAAAAAATCCCAAAATTGCATTTTGCCATTACAGACTCATACATAAGGAAAGGTTGTGTTTTCTAAGCGACAATTGTTAAGATATAATATTCAAAATCAGTATTTAATCATTATAATGAGGTATTGTTTAAATATAACCACCTTTAGATTATTCATAGTTTAATTAATATAGTCATTATGAAAATCTTTGAATCAGATATTTGATGAACTGCTTGTCAGTAACAAGGCAGCATTAATTAGGCCTATATTGAGATTAACATTTTAAAAAGTACAACCGCTTATAATTATAATCGAGCCTAACTAAAGACCGCCTTCACTGAGCTAAAACTAATAATTTCTCTATTTGAACTGTTAGCAAGAGATTATTAAATTAGTATAAGCTAATATCTCAAAGTATTGAAACCCGCTTGACCAACTAGATTGTGCCTGTGGCTTCGGCACTGGGCCCTGGCTGCCGTCTGAGGAACCAATTCGGATGCGGGAGATAAATCTGCCAAATCTCCCCGCCAGCAAAGTCACGCCTCGCGGGGAAGCCAAATCCAGGAGGGGCTCTGCCCCCGCGGCCGAATCCCAGCCGCGGCTCTCCGTTCCCGCTTCCAGCCGGTCCGCGCGCGCGCACGTTGGTCTCCGAGGTCGGTTCCCCCATTAGCGCTCCAGGTTCCGGCGACCTGCGGGAGGAGAAAAGCCCCAATCCCAGGCCCAGAAAGGGCCTTGAGGTCCCGAGCTCCATCCCCCACCACTTCCCTGCTTTCTTCAACCCCCCCCCCCACCCCCACCCGGCGCTTCCCCTCCCTTTCCCAAAGGGCGTCGGAAGAGCCTGGCACATCTGATCTTTCACCAGCACCAATTGAAAAATGGGTGCTTGTCACAACACAGATCACTGCCTTCCTCGTTCAACTCCCCACCGCGCGCTGCAAAGGGTCCCCCAAAGGCGGAGGGCCAGTGTCGCAAGGCAGGCTGAGAGAAGCGGGACTCGCTCAAAGCAGCCAGACGAGGCCCGCAGCTCTCCCAAACTTCCTCAACTAGGCTGCGGGATCCGGGGCTGGGGTTGGGCAGAGCGCCCGGCCAGGGGAGTTCTAACTGCTCGCAGCTCTGTTCATCCGGAGCGAACCGATCTGAGCGGTTCATTGGAGGTGCCCCCTTCATGGCCGGGCCGGGAGACTTTCGGGCTGGGGTAGGGTGCTCCCCTCGCCCACCAGGCCCTTCCTAGGCCCCTCCATTTCTTCCGGGCGCAGAGAAAAAGCCCGGGGTCCTTAGGCAGGAACGGGCCTCTCCTTGTGCGTGGGGCCGTGTGGATGGGAGTGGCTGTGGAGGGCGCGGGTGGCGCCTTGAGACTGTCCCCGGGAGCTCACTGATTGATTGGGGGTTAGCCTGACAGACGTATCCTTCCGGTCCTTTTCCGGCGTCTGGCCGCGTCTTTTCCTCGTCCAGATCCAGCGCCCTCCAGGCAAGCCAAAGCCAGGAGGCCAGATCCCCACGGATGCGAGGGGCCCCGCCAGGTGTCTCGGTCTCCAGGTTTCTAGGACTCCCGCAAGGTGACTGGATGTGTGTTGGGGGGCGGGGGGGGGGGGGAGTTAGGGGTGTCACTCAATCTCACAGGCCGGCTGTCTTGAGTTCTGCTTTGATCTCCTCGCAGCCGGCCTTCACCACCCTTTGGTTCCTGAGCCCTGACTCTGACGAGCGGCACCTGTTCCTGGTCCTCCTTCCCTGAGACCCTTCTGGCCCAGGTGGGATCAGACCCCTTGTG